TCATAGATCTAGATGAAAAATAAAACAGTGCTTCTCTGTATCTATGCCACAGATTTTCTAAGAGACCTATCATTTTCCACTTAATAGACTCTTCCTTTGAAAATTACTGAAGAGGCGTTGGAGAGGGCACGGATTGCAAGGAGCACTGGGTGTGGTGCAAAAACAATGAATACTGTTACGCTGAAAATAAATTTAAAAAATTAAAAAAAATACTGGAGATTTCCATAAAGAATAAAATTAAAAGAGAGAAAAAGAAAAAGGGAGGCAAATCTTACTACACTCAGCTGAGACACATTTTACCATTTCCACCCTCTCTTTTTCTTTTTCCTTCCTTTTCTTTTTTCTTTCTTTCTTTCTTTCTTTCTTTCTTTCTTCCTTCCTTCCTTCCTTCCTTTCTTCCTTTCTTTTTCTTTTTTAGAGAGGGAGAGGTGGTGGGGCCAGAATTGATCCCTCAAACCTGAGATCATAACCTGAGCCAAAATCAAGAGTTGGACACTTAACCAGTGGAGTCACCCAAGCACCCCAATTTCCATGCGTTCTTGAATGAATTTCCTGGGACATGATAGGATTCTACCTCTTTGATATATCATTAAACTCATTAAACATTTCTCAGGATTGGGTTTCACCAATAAACCCACCATTCCAGTAACAATGCAAACTCTGATTTACAAACCATGACTGAGTATTTGTTGGGTGAAAACTTCTTACAGAGGCCACATGTATCTTTTTTTTTTTTAATTAATTAATTTATTTTTTATTTATTTATTTTTATTTTTTATTAAAGATTTTTATTTATTTATTTGACAGAGAGAGATCACAAGTAGATGGAGAGGCAGGCAGAGAGAGAGAGAGGGAAGCAGGCTCCCCGCTGAGCACAGAGCCCGACGCGGGACCCGATCCCAGGACCCAGAGAACACGACCCGAGCCGAAGGCAGCGGCCCAACCCACTGAGCCACCCAGGCGCCCCCACACGTATCTTGATATGAATGATGTTCTCCCCATTTCTAGATGGAGGGTAACAGCACAGAGAGGTTGGGATGCTGACATATATCCCATGTTTAGTCTGATTCCCATCCCAGGACTCTGTGCACTCCACCAGTGTTGAATGGTTGCTTTCTTTTCAAACGTGCTTTAGTTCCAGATGAGCAAACAGAAACAGGACCAACAATTCCTTGTCTTGGGATTCTGTGAGTTCATCTGTGAATTAGGGAATTGGGATAAGTGGTTTACGGGGGCCTTTGCTACATGAATATTATAGATCATAAGATTTTCTATGAATAGTAATGCATTTTGCAGCCTATTTTGGAAATCTGTGGTATAAAAATATTATTCCTTATCCAAGATAGGCACTTTCCTGTGTATTTATCATGGAAAGGCCATTGGAATACAGACTTCGGGGATCTTTCTGATTCTATACCTTGATAATAAAAGCATGATGTTGATTTTGTCTATACCTTCTATTAGGAAAACAAATATAGATTATTAATAGTAAAATTGTACATATATTGATTTTTTTACAATGTTATCATCTTTTATGCCTATATAGTATAGAAATTCTCATTTGTGTAATATGGAGGTGGGCCCAAGAATTTATTTGGGATATTCTAATAAGGGACACCTGGGTGGCTCAGTCAGCTAAGTGTCCAACTCTTGATTTTTGGCTCAGGTCATGATCTCAGAGTCCTGAGATGGAGCCCCAAATTGGGCTCTGTGCTCAGTGTGAAGCCAAGTTAAGGTTCTCTCTCTCC